GGCACGATGTTGAAACTACTGTTAACGAGTCAGGCTGCTCAACAGAAGGGATTTATTTTTTGTCCACCTTATTTTTTGTATTCCTTCCTTTTGGCTCCAAAAATTGTAGTGGAAAACAAATGTACCATGTACCAGCAAATGTGCATTCCTGTGTCCCCAGTGAACAAGAAGAAATACACTATATATTTTTAATGCATTTGAAAAGATATACAGTTTTGTAAAGATTTTTGCTTATCAATATGTGCTTTTAGTATTGTTTAAAATGCTGTGCACTGTCCAGCTGGCCATATTCCTCTACGTGATGTTGCAGATGGCTCATAAATTTCACTATATATAATAATAGGCACTGGGAGAGCCCAGCCATTAAAATTAAATATATCTGAACTGTTTATCAGAGAAAATGATTTGTTGTCTTTACAAAGAGAATAGTTATCTTTGTAAAAGACATGCTTTAAGCTAACTCTTAAGGGGGGAAAAAAAACCCTTGAATTTATAAATTGTCTCGTGTGGTTTCAGAGCTGTGGTTACCAAGCCTCTGCCACTTGCAGGGTTACTTCCAAGACCATAATGTTGCATTTTTGTGTTCTGATAGTCTTGTGGCCCTGTTTTTGAAGCGACTGTCTTAAGGTCCACACAAATGGACTGTAGAGGGACTGCTGCCTTCAAACCAAGATTCAAATCCACTTACAGAGTGGAAAGTTTATAAAACATTAAGCTTTGACCAAAATTGCTGCTTGTTCTTTAGTATCTTGTTCTGTCTCTGAACAACACATGTTTTGAGCTATTCATCTGTAAAAAGGCTGTATCTGTATCTGCAAAAGGATGTATTAGTTAATTAATAACAGAATTTACAATGATATGAAAAGTGTGTCTAGATCATTCATAGGTTTGTTCTGTATTTCGTCTCAAGGACCCCTGCGGGCTGCAATGTGGAGCAAACCAACTATATCCCTCAAATAAGGAAAACTAGATGATAAGGTTGGACTAGATGATTTCTAGAGGTCCTTTCCAACCTTAAAAATTCTATGATTCTATGAAAACCTGTTACAGCCCTGAGGGTAATTCCCTCCAGAGCCTACACCCTACCAACGCACACATGAGCCAGTCTATACCAAAGCTCAGGGACACAGGGTTGCTCCTGGTGGGGACCACTAACACAACATGGACTTAGAAGGAACCCAAGGTCTCACTCAGTCCCCATAATGTTGTGTACTGAGGGCTTCAGCCACAAACCAAACATCTTACAACATGGTATAGTGCAGAAAAATGACATTTCCAAGTGTGTTTATTGAGAAATAGTAAAGATGTACATATTTTTACAAGCTTTAATTTTAATTTACATTTTCTTAAATTATGTAGGCCCCAGTAAACTATAATTTGCTAATACATGACAGAGACCCTTGGCTTCAATTTTATTTCCAAAATGCTGCTATTGCTGGGATTTTGGCTCATGTCACTTCATTCCTCTTTAGAGATACTAAATACCATATTCATTTAAAGCATATGCTTCATGTCAATGCTGTAGAGATGACTTCTGAACCAAAACCCTTAATCTGAATCCAACGTCACAGTGAAAATCTACGGTGTTCTTATCATGGGCCAAATCCATATTTTCCCCATCCTCTGCCATTCTTCTTGTCTTCAGGATTTCACTTGTGCCAGGATGAGGTGTGCTTGTACACAGGATTTGGATTTGGCCTCACCTCCCCTGCGAACGCTCACACTGCAACACATTCTGCCTCTGCTTCAGATGCAAACCCGGCTGCTCATGCTGGGTGCTAATAAAACTGTTCTGGGAGCTAGCTGCCTGCATAAGTGTCTAAAAAGAAGTGTCATTTTTAGTTTTTGCTTTCCAGTTTTACTGATATACTGAATTGCATGGCATTATCTCATACTTACATAAGATACTACTCTGTGACTGCGACCACGCTGTATTCTGCAAGCTCACTATTCAAATGCCTAGTAGGTAAGTATTGTACTGACTGAAAACTGCTACAGTGTCAGCAAAAGGCATTATATTCTATACCTCACTTGCACAAAACTTTTGCAAACACAACATTGTGCTCAGTCTTGGTTGTTGAGGAGAGACTGAAGGGAAGGCAGTTTCTGATTAATATCCTGTTGAATTAAAATGCACTCAATGCCAACATGATCAACCGTCAGTTTAATCCGACCAGGCCCCTCTGGAACTGTCTGATGACTATATCTCTGCCCTTGGTTATTTTCTGTATTGAAATTTCTGTATGTATCTGTATTTTTCATCCAAGAAAATTTACCAGAGTAATTTCTATGAGGCAGACATGTATTATAAACTTTTGCTAAAAGATGTATAGCATTTTTTACTTAGCAAGAGATTATTCATGCTTTGCAACTTTTTAGAATTTTCTTATTGCAAAAGTCTTAGAGCTAAATCTTTGAATTTTCTTTGGATGTAAATTTCTGTGGAATATTACTATAATTAGCTTCTACTATGGTAGTACCTAAAATCCAAATTAAAATCAGAACTTTAATTTAACTCTGCAAAGCTTCCCTCCTTTTTTGCCTCCATCCTCTCTCTCTGGAAGTCCAGTACATTATTAACTGAGCCATACATGCCACAGAGTTAGGCTCAACTCCAATGAAAGCACCGCAAACCTTTTATAAAAAATGTTGCTGAGTTGTTGTTTGTTCTTAGATCTGATTTGGAAAAGAATTCTGAAAAGCTGAAAAAGTAACTGAGAAATAATATTGCTTCATGCATTTCAATAACACTATCACTTGTTTAAAAAAAGAAAACAGAAAAATAAGCTAGTTCTCCACAACATTTTGTTTTATAACAACTTCTATGTTAAAAGTCTCATGCAATGTTACCATGCCAGAACTTGAGGAGGACTTTGTTTAACCTTTTTTTCCCCAATTCCAGTAGAAACAGTTATTTCCCACCTAAAATATAAAAAGCTTGTACAGTGGCTTTTTATGGAAAATATACTGTTATGTCAAATTTGTCTAGACAGGTACTGTAAATATAGAAAAGGTACATATCGCTTTTACTTCTTGGATACACAAATCTCTCACCTAAGTAAGTGGCTGGTGCATCATGATTTTGTATGAGGCAAGTCCTGTGTGACAGTCACATCCTGCTCAGCAAAAACAGATCATCATTAGGTAGCTGTGTGGTGATTTGGATATCCAACTCCAATAAAGCAAAGAAATCCAATTTTTATTAAGTTATAAGGGAGTTTTGCCTTGGATTTTCAGTGGCTCCAGTCTCTCTCTACAAACTGACTTTGACCCTAACCTGGAGTTCAAACAGAGATTAAATTTGCTCACTCTCTGGTAGCTGGAAACATGGTGGCTTCACAGCACCACGAGGAAACTTCTCTCCAGTGCTGCGCATGACCATGCCTGTGCATTCTGGGGGCTGCATTCCCCATCTTCTCTTGCCTATACCTCTTCACACAGTCAGAGCACACAGAAGGAACCTCAGGTGTCTCGACCTACAGCGTTACCAATCAAAAAGCAGTTTCCATCTTCGCCAGGGAAGGACGCACCACCTGTAGTTGTTCCACGCTGCAGGTTCACAGCTGGTTCACAACTGGGTCTAAAGTGATGGGGACCCTGGGCACAACCCACAGCTTGTTCACTTTCCAAAGCTGGAGGGTAGCAGGTTAAAATCGCAGGGGATAGTTATCATTGTGTGACCCATAATTATGATTAGAAATGGCTGAAATTAAGGGAATGTATTTCTCAGTACTTCTTCACTAATCCGCCCCACTGCTTTTTGTCTTCTCCTCAGATGCATGAGCTACTATTTAAACATCTAAGTCCAAAAACACTTCATTGGAAGAGCTACCAAAACATTGTTGTATTTGCCAAAAAAAAAAAAAAAGGCTGTTTTTTCTTTCCTAAGTAACTTAGTGACATTGCATTTTCACTTCCAGTAATGCCACCAGCACTCTCCAAATACCTGTCTGCTGGGTGGGAATTTCTTCTTTCAAATATAGCAGATGCACTCACTGCATGGCTTTCAGTGCACTAAGTATTTTATGAATATGGCTCTTCGATCTCTCAATGGGGAATCAAGACATGATGTTCAAAGTGTTAAACAGATGTTAGCTTTCAAGGTAACGGTCCCCAGTATCAATCTCCCAATATCCTCTTAACTTGCCTCAAAAAATCAGTGGAATTATTCAGAATCCAAATAAAAACACAAACTTTCCTTTATTATTTTTTTCTTACTGCAACAAATACTTAAATGCCTTGGTGCAGCCCTGCTCTTTGATTACTTTGAATTTGAAATTTGGTCATGTCAAAAATTATCACAAAGATTTTTTTTTTGTTTATCTACATAGTTTTTAACCAAAATTACATTATAACACACGAACACAGTCTTCTCTTTAAGGCACAACACATCATTATGCACATTCTGTTTGCCAAACTTATAAAAGAGACAATATTATATAACCCTCTCCCTCCCCTCCCCCCCAAAAAATGAAAGAAAAATTGCATCCACTTCCAAAATCAGCTGCTAATAAAGTCACAGTAAATTATTTTCATCAATAATTTACACAAATTACAGGACTAGACAGGATTGTCATTATACAGTCTGAGTGCATTCCAATTCAGATTTTCTGGGTTAGGTAGGCTAAAGTCTGGTTCAAACCTCAGTGCTGAGAATATATCCCACTTTGAGGAATGTCGGTTGGAAAACGCATGTTGGTGCTTTGCCAGTTCGAGTCCTTTGCTCTCTCCTATCAGGGCTCACTTGGTATGTACCAGCAACCTCCACAGTTTTAATTCATTTAAAAACGTTGCATATATAAGACCATAGAGCTTCCTTACGTAGCACTAATGTTTCAACTCCATTCAGTAATCTGAATTCTTCAATTTGGAATTTTTAATTCCAAATATTTCTTCCCTTCTTAAGACAATTCATATGTGTAAAGCCAGAGGCATTGAATCACACATAAAAATTCAGTGTACTTGAAATATATATATATATAAAAAAAACGGAGCGCCAACTTTAGAACACAGTTACAAATACTCTAGTTCCAGTGCTTGATGGAGAGCCAAGAGGTCCGAATGACTGGATATCCTCCAGAAAGGCATGTTGTGCTGTGTTTGTTAGAAGGGGAAAAAAGGTGAGGAAAAATGAAGACAGTAACATAGGCTGGTATATGACACATGTCTGGTCAACTTGCAACCATGTATGTTACACCACTGGGTTTCTGGATTGATTTTTGTTAGTAAGATACTGACAAAAATCAGGCCAAAATAGATCTGAGGTTATTTCTTTGACTGAAAGCAAATAAACAGATTATCTTTCCTACTTTTTTTTTTTTTTTTTGGAAAGAACCCATTACTTAAAGGGAGCTGTTTGCCTTTATTTTTAGCATGGAATCCCATACAGTGGAGCATCAATAGGAAAATCTGTTTCTGCTCCAGTTACTATACTTTGTGAAAGATGGAATGACCACTTAAAAGGTTATAAAATTTTCATTAAAAGAGGCCTCACTTACTTTGAAGTAGAGTTGAATTACACTTTTTTCCACCAAGGGAAAAAATCTCCTAGGGAGAAAACAACAAATTGCTTTTTTTTTTTTTAAAAAAAAAAAAAAGATAATTTGTGTTGCAGAGAACGTAAGTGTCTGTAAGACAAGCAAATTTATGCACTGTTCTGCCTCAGCAGTTGTTCAGAATGGAATAAAAACAACATACTTCTCCATTCTGTTCAGATCTATTTGTAAAGTACTGGGTTCATCCCTCCCTATGAATCTGTATCTGTTCATGCAATATAGGTACCATTAAAAAAAAAAAAAAAAAGCATGCCAAACTGGAAAGTACACAATCCAACCACCTTTGTTTAGCACAAACTATAAAAGACCCATCACCAGTAATGTACCTATGTTAAAGAACCATTTGGAGTGAGCATTTTGGTTATTAGCCTTTTGTTTCCATTGCAACTATACTGTAAAAATGCTTAATACTAAAAGGGTATTTAATTTTGTTGTTCCTAGCACAATTTATGCCACTTGTGCTGTGTGGTCTAAGGCAAAAAGAAATCAGTTTCTGCACATTCTATGGGAAGGACAGCTCCCATATTATTTTCTCTGTTTCTGAACACTGAAAGGTTATCTGGGGAAGTTTCCACTTGAATGTTTAACTTGATAAAATTGATTAGTTCTAAAGAATCAGATCTTTTTGACAAACATCACTTTTGCAAAATATGTACATTGTGTCCTTTATGGCTTGGCAGATATGTATTTCTTGAAGTAAACTATATGTTCATCACATACCCTCCAGCAAATAGCAGATCTCTGCTTATGTTGACAAAAATTTGCACTATCCTTTTAATATTTTTCCACATTCTCTGTAACAGTTTTCCTGAAACCTCCCTGATTTCACCCTTTAGAGAACACCACTACCCATCGATTATTTCCAAGCTCTTGGTGTGTCACCTTTTTAGGTTTACTTTGCTTGAAATTAATCAGATATTTTGCCCCCCATCAGTTTTCATAGAATCACAGAACCACATAACGGTTGAGGTTGGAAGGGACCTCTAGAGATCACCTAGTCCAATGCCCCTGCTCAAGCAGGGACACCTTGAGCACGTGGCACAGGGTGGTGTCCAGGTGGATGGAGTCTCTGGAGTTATGTGAAAATATCTTAATTTTGACTAAAAGAAGCAAAGTTTTAGTCTCTCATTTATTTTATAAATAATTTTCCTTTTTTTTTTTCTTTCCAAACTGAAATAAAGCAAATGCTTGAATCCAAATGGTTCGTTTTACTGTAAGTGCTGGTCTCATCATGCTCTTGTTGCCTTGCATCTGTAGACTGAAATTATTTGTCATTCTGCCATTGCGCAACACTAACAGAAATGCAAACAGAAAGGCTTGCATTAGTAGCTATGTATCACACCAACATTTCAGGAGACAGGTTACCTTTTTTGCTGCCTGTTCTTCTTCTACACCATCCCCAATTACAACATATACTACTTTTCTGCCAAACCTTTGCATTATTCGTTCAAAGCAACTTTCTTTTCCTGGAAGATAAATGAGATAAGGGTTCAGAGTGAAGTTACCTGATTAGCTGCATGCTCCTCATCTCGGCCATCTCCAATCACAACATAAGTTATGTTAGTGCCAAATCTGGACACTATACGCTCAAAACAGCTCTCTTTGCCTGCAAAACAATGCACTGCTTATGAAGCTATCAAGTTATAGTGAAGCTCTATAAAGGATTATTGCAGTGGTAAGACATTGTTACTACTAATTTTTTACAGCTCAGGATTTAGAGCAAAAGCTAGCAAGAAGCAATTCATTCCCTTGGTGACAATAAGCTACTTCCTCTGAAACTCCATGTTAAGATTTACAGAAAAGCTACTAAAATAAAAGGATTGCCAACACTGTAAAAAATGAATAAGTCAGTGAACAGATCATTGAATTCAAGGATTCCTTATTACTGTAATAATAATTTTTCAACAAAAGAAGAACTTTACTTCAATGTATCTGCAGCAATGAACAAAGTAGCAATGGAAAAAAAAAATGGTCAGAGTGCAATGCACAAAGAAAATAAAATTAGATAGAAGTTTCCAGGGGGAACTCCCATGAAATATTTGCCTGTTATAGGAATATGAAAGCAAGAGGCTAAGACAGTAACAACAAATAATAAGTAGGATTGAGAAGGGCTACAAGAAGACATCTAACCAATCTTTCCCCGCTACTGCAATTTCACTTTTACCCAACAAATGCCTTTGTAAGCTATTCTAAAAATATTCTCAAGTTGGTGATTTCACAACTTTTAGAGGTGATTCCCATGTTTAATTAACCCTTAACATTAGGAAGTTTCTCCTTGATATCCAACCTGCCCTACTGCAATGAAACCATCAGTTGTTGTCTTACCTTCCATCAACAGAGAGTAAGATTATTTCTTTCCTCTCTGCAATGGCTTTTTAGATACTTTAAGACCACTGCTATGTTTCCCCCCAGGTTTTTCAGTCTCTTCTCATGAGCTCATGATTTCTAGACCTGTGATTCTTAGCACACTCCTGTTTTCCTTAGTGCACTCCTGTTTTTCTCCAGATGGTCCATAAAAAAAGGTGTATGACTAGGAAAAGTATTCTGTGTATTAACTGCTGAATGAGGATAGTCACAGTTACAGCCCTGCATCCTGTGCAGTGCAGGGATCACCAAGATGAAAAATTGATCGAGATCTTGTACCCGGCAGAGTTCACTGTGTTCCTGACCGAGTTGTAACAGTGACCACATTGTTCCCAGGAGGAATTCCTGATGCAGAATTCCTTCAAAGTCTTCTGGAAATGGTGCTTCACTTCCCACCCCCTTCTGTGATGTTGGCACCATTTCTCAATGCCTCCCCATGGTCTGAGTGTAATCTCAATAACTGAATCCAAAGCAAACAGGCTGTAAGAGAGATAATGTTCATTCCATAGGCTGGTTAAGATGATGTGGTGTTTGTGATACTTCTGCCTCAACTCAAGTTTTTTTGTATTTGAAACATTTTTTTCTATATCATTGAAGTAATTTGTTTTCCTGACACTGTTAGGATATGCATTATTTTTTTCACTTGTGAAAATCATCTAGGAAATATATTTGAATACTCTGCCAATGCAATCTGTGACTCAGTGATATACAAAACAATGCGGATACAGAAACTAAGCATCAATAAATGATACATCATGAAATCTGCTAAGAATTTTGGACATCTGACAAGTAGTTACAGGCTGTATTGCCTTTCACAAGAATGGTGACATTTATTGGTCTACACAAAAATTTTGGATGCGATTTCAAAACCAAAAATCCCAAAACTGATTCACCAGCTCCTTCAAAGAGGAAAGCATTTACCAACAAAGTAGGGAGCTGCCCTGGGGTATCCATCAACATGTCTTCTGCTGGTAATGGTTGTTATTTACCATCACACATGTCCTGTGCTCCCGGGAAAAGTTTGTGAAGCTGTGTCCTAGCCTACATAGAGCTAGAGGTCAGACCAGAGACTATTTTTTAAAAAAGCTCCGTTCAGATTTCATTTCACAAAACTCTTCTCTTTATTCTTTTCCACTTTTTTTTTCACTATGAGAGATATAGTTCTGGAGCCTTTACTCCTTTCAGTACCACAGAAAATAAGCTGCATTTAGGTTCTATTAAAGATAAAAAACAAATCTAAACATACACAATACACAGCTCTTATAACAAACGACATAAATATCAGGCAAGTGGTTTTGAATCCATCATTGGCTAAAAAAATTACTGATAAAGCCGTGTAGTTTGATTGGATGAAAGTATGATTTTCTTACCTATTTTGGTTGCACTGTAAATATTTTCAATAGGAAAAGCCCCTCCTAAGCTGTATAGCAGGACTTTTGCAAGTGCTGGAATAAGCTGGGTTGTTGTTACCAAGACATTTACACAGTTACTCCTAAAAGGAGAGAAGCGGTTTTTAAATCCATTTCCCAAATACTGATGTGATAACACAGCTGATGACAGCATATTTAACATTCCTCGGTATTTACTTCCGCACACATTGCTGTGCTACTCAGCACCACCACCCCAGAAAAATGTCCACATTGCTTTATGAAAAAGCTATTTCCCAAGCAATGATAAGCTGGAACATGAGCATGACCGAAGTGCGAAGATAAAGTTGAAAGCGATTTTGAATTCTGGTCCTTCTACAATATCCCAGTAAAACCTTAGGCTACCCTTTCTGTCTTTATGCATTTCAGTTTCCTGTCAGTAACATGTAAATAGTGTTTAGCCATCTCATAGGTATCTTCTGAAAATTTATATCTGTGCATAATATAACTGTAAATCTGTAAATAAATGAGTATTACTTAACAGTTTTAAGAAATTGTTTAGAATTCTTCCAGATTCATCTGCCTGTGTTCCAATGGTGTTCATTATAGACTACTTGAGCTAAGAAATGAAGAACTAAGCACAGCAAATTAAACATTTTTATTTTTGTGCTCTTGAAGTACTTACAATGCTTCTCATAAATTTAAACAAAAATTGAGAAACATATTGAAAAATATTTGTAAAATTAAAATAGTTTTTCAATAGTTTTTCACATGTTACCAAGTTTGTTCTTTCACTCAACACTGATTTCTCCTTCAGACATGACGAAGAGGCAAGATGGCTAAATATTTTCCTTTCATTATCATGCAAAGCTTGCATTTTTAAGGTCTTCAGAAGAAAAACTGCATGGCTAACTAAGCAGCAGCAGTGTTCCCCATTTTATTACCTCAAAAGAACAGCTAATTTTATGCCTCAGGACTGGAAGCACAGACTTTTAATTTAATACTAGTGCATAATGTAAGTAAATACTTATGTTTTCTAAAATACTTACTTTTGTAAAAACTTACATGTATGTTCAATATTGATTTATTTGGAAGAAACACAGAAAGAAAATAATTTTGCCCTTTAGGATATGTACTGTACTTAGGTACCACTGTGAACAGGCACAAACATAGAAAAATAAAACATATTTGGAGTTCAGAGGATGTTGCTCACAGGGTAGTAATTTAAAGGCTGGGTCAAAGTTCTATAAAGGTAAAATACACAGGGCAATTTACTATATTTTAAAAGTCCTTTCATTCAAGTCTCCAGTAAATGTTGGGATCACTGAAAATGAAATCAATTTCCATGGAATTTTTCCTTCATCACACCTAAAAATCATGTTAAGCTTCTGTTCTGCAGAAGTACTATAATATTGTAATCTATGAACAAGCAATTACATGTTATACATAAAAAAAAAGAGTTTTACAGTAGACTCAAATACATACCTTGTGCTAATAATTGATAATGATTTAAGTGCATTTGTTAGCCAGGAATCTGTTAGAGCTTCAATCTCTGCTCTTAATTGCAACCATGCATCTCTTTTAGCAGGACCGAGGAGACCTTTTATGCAAAAAAAAAGATAAAAGAAAAGCAATTGAATTCTGTGCTGGTTGGAATTTACAGATTTTGCAGAGATTGTTTCTATTTTCAATTCCACTAGAATTTTAAAAACAGCAAAGAACTGTTGTCTTCTCTCTGTTGTCTTCAGCTGCCTGCTTCCTTTGCAATCTTGTGACATCATTGTAACAAGAAATGCCAGAATAATGTAGATATCTATCTAATACGTAGTCATCTGATTTTTTTTTGGTATATTCAGGCTCCTTCACCACGTCTTTAAACATACTTCTCATATTTTTGAAATGAACTGCTTACATACAGCTTATCCTCTAGTTACGATGGGCAGTGATGAGGGGATCATAGGTAGAAACTCATAGAGATTCTGTCCATAGAGAACTCATAGAGAACAAGTAACTTTACATTTTTTTTTCTAGCAACTGTGTATGCTTATAACTGCCCTGCTTATGGCTCATTTTATATGTGAAACTCAGGTGAGGCATGTGAAAACAGAGCATTTATTTGCTTGCTCTTCACCTTTTGTTCTAGTTACTAATGATAAGTCCTTTTGGAGGACTTAAAATATTACAGTCCTGAAATGACTGTACATAATATGTTCTCAAAACTTAGTTAGTGCTGATTTCTTTAGAATGAAACTATTTTAAATTTACATATGACCTGGAAGATCAGGCAAGCAGGCACAGTGACCTTTAGTGCCCCTCTCCTCTTTCATATGCTGTATTTCCATGAAGTGGTGATGACTGTCTTTTAAAAATCTGAAACAAAGCAACCTAAAAACTCCCAGTTTGACCTAGTCCTCTGTTGTCTTCTAATTGCAGTTTTGAAATAAAAAGTTACACACATAAAATCAATTAAAAAAGACCATTATAGAGACTAGCGAGTGGAGGAACTTGCCCATTAATGCCACTTTCCCAAGTGGAATATATTTCAGAAGCATGATTTGTGCGGGACAGAAAAAATCTGAACATAATGTACCAGCTCATAACTGTACTGGGTCTTTGCAATGATGCTTCCTATCAATGTGTTCCTCTATGCTGTGCTCTGACATACACTATCATCAAGCTTTTATGAAATGTAACTGCTTTAGAATCCTAGATGCATTAAGAGATGTCATACATAAACCAAGTAAACTTGTTGGTAAGGCTGTTGTATGCGTTCTTTATATATAAAGACTCCATTCATGACAGCAAGGAAGGCCAAGGCAGGGCAGTTTCTTTGGGAACTATTGTTCACTTCTAGGGACTCAAGTCACCACACTTCAGAGCATGTAAAATCTAACCATCTCCTATCACCCTTCTCTGATATTGCTCCATCCTGAGAAAAGATTTTGAACCAGTAACATAAGCCAGATTTAACTATTTCATAAAATGACAAATTCATTGTCCATAGTGTTAGAAAAATAGTTTTACATTTCTGAGAAACTGCAGGAAGTGTTAAGAGTATGCCTATTTGTTTTTACTCTGGGTGAGCTTTTGAGTTTCAAATTTTTCAGAAATAAATTTCAACTGACTTGAAAAAAGTCCATTCTACAGAATGGGAGAGAGTTCCCTTGAACCACTGCCTGGTTGGGCTGGCCTCTTCTCTATCTCAAATAGTGCTGTAGAAATGTTTGAAGACCTGTAAGTATTCTGTGTTCTCTAAATCTTTGAGCAGTAGCTGACATATTCCCCTCTTCAGAGGGGCTGTCTGACTCTACAATTCATACACAACTTTCTAGGACATACTGCTTCAGCTTTGCTCCTATCACTTCCTAAAACATGCCGGCACTGAAATGTTTGTAAGTGAAAACAATAATAAAAAGTTCTCCTCTCAAATGAAGTTGAGACTTTCTTGCTAACACAATTAACTGTGTTAGCTCCGGAAGTGTTTTATAATTATTTTATTTTAGGCAAGCTAAGTGACTCAGCCAGTAAGTCCATTGGTAGGTAGGTATATCCAAGCTGGGTCTGAAGGAGGAAAAATGGGCTCTCAGCATGTTGAATGGAGCTCTGCATATCTGGTTTCCCTGCACAACAGCATCAGGTAGGATCTGTCATTCCTGTAACTGTCAATAGCAGAAGGTCCAATCCCTTTACTACTCACAAAGTGGCTTCCAAGGCTGTTTCACTTGGGATGAGTTCATTACCACATGGTTTAACCTGATCAGTAATCTGAATTATTTTTGACAAAAAATGTGTTCCTTAAACTCACCTCCTATGTTGTTCTTGTAAGTATTATACAACTCTTTTACTCTTCTGTAACGGAAAGCCAGCTTCCTCATCCAGTCAACCCCTCCTCTTACACCTGTTGGCAGACAAAGGTTTGCACTACTTGCAGCTGCATGGAAGCCATCAGTTGCAAAACTGTAGGTACTGCAAACACCCAAAATACAGTAAAAATAAATACAATGTATTCCTGTAAGTGCTCAATTTATTTAATCTTTGAAGAAAATTATTTTGAAAGAAACATTAGATCTTACCTTAGATCTTGCCCATTATCATCAGAAGAAACATCATCTATATGAACTTGATCACACTCCTATTGAAAAGAAAAAATCAATGAGAATTTTTTTAAGGGAGTATGAGCACCATGTGCTCAGCAGAGCTGTCAAGAAATGATCTCTGCAGGACACAGGCCGCACCAGAAGATGGCAGCATATGTACGCTCACAGCCTCATATTGCCTCGATTCCTTGAAAACTTCAAAAATAGAAACTTAAACTCTTTCTATGGTATATAAATTATGAATGGAAATAGGGCTTCAGAAAAGTGATATGTTATTTCAGTGTGATTTTCGATAACAACTATTTTTAATTTTAAAAGCCAGCCCTCTCTTTGAGTCTCTCTAGTGTACTAGTGTTTCAAAATCACCTAACCTGCATTTCCCCACTCTCTGAAAACTAGTAATGAAGTGCCTCAAAAGGCATTTATGTTAAACCTCTAGGAGTGTGGAGAGCTTATCAGTCTTGATTTACCCAAGTAACTTTGGCTGGGAAATCTCAAAGAATCAATCAGCCTTGGACAATGTCTCTGCACTATTTCCTGGTTTCAGAAGGGCTGAAAGTAACTCCAGGGAAGTGCAAGGTACAGGGAAATTTTAACTCCCCTCCAAATTGTTTTTGTAAGTGTATGGCTGTCACATGCCTCTTTCTGCACACTATTTACAGCAGAAAAACAGGGTAATACATAGGATAATTTAAGTCCCCATGCAATGGCAAATACAAACAGGCAGGCACTGTATTACTCTTTCCGTATTTGCTAGAATTAGCATCTTAACTCAAAGACACATTTGAAACTCAGTGATTGGAAATTATACTTTCCAGTATAAGTTTTGATTCTGTTTTTTAGAGTTTAAAATTATTGTTGTTAACATAGTCATAATTTAATTTATGAAGAGTTTAAAAATCAGCACCAACTATGTTGTTTTCAATAATTGAATCTCATTATTAGGACAAAGTGGGGCTGAACTTTCTGAATACACAGTTTCATGCTTCAAATAAAGAGTTAGCTGGGTCACCTACTTTAAACAAAGTGGCTGACAAACTCCACTTGGGTGATACTTTCTATGACATGCTGGAATATGCACTATGTTTCACATGTCAGTCTCATACCAGTGCTAAGATGATCAGAGAAGGGACAAATCTGAGCAGAGGACTGATTTCCAGAGATTACTAGATTTTATTCAGGAAAAAAACAATGTCAGTGTGATTTGGGGGAAATGCCATTTCTCATCCAAGTTTTTCTTTGCATTGCTGTGAATGAAAATTTAGTAGGTAGGTTATTTATTTATTTTACTCACATGAAGTAATTTTGTTAAAAAAGTCTGATTAGTAATTGGTGGATAAATAAACACATACAATGTCATTTTAATACAAGCAATCATAATGTGAAATTTTAGTATCGATATTAAAAGACCGAGTGGTCAAATTCTGCTCATCTGGCTTAATCCTCTGAGACAGGCATGGAAGAACTGCAGTTTGAGGAACAGAAAATATCACTCTTCTCCCCACTAGAGAAATAAAGTACATTTTGATTATGTCTAAGAAACAGATTATTTTCAGCTGTAGAATATTTTAAAGAAGATGAATTTGGATATAAACAACAGATGAAAAGAGAGAGAAAAAGGGAGGTGAAGGCTGAAATAAAAAGGTTCCTTTCTTTATCTGTGTTTATTCTCCTGGAAAAAAAAAAAAAGCAATGATAGTCCACGCAGTGGAGCACAGGAACTCAAAAATCAGACAAGACATTTCTTTGGGACAATTTGTAACTCAGTGTTTTATAGCATCTGAGCAATATCTAGCTTCATCACCTTCACCGGTTTCAATGGGACAGGTCAAAACATTAAAAATTTTTAAAAGTTTAAAAATTGGATCTGAACTGTGGATCTGAACAAGTACTAAGTACATGGACAGCACACAGAAGTCCTCGTGAGTAAACATGAGCGTCTGCTATTCCCTGGGTTTTGCTAAGTCATTCAGCTGTAGTGCACCAGCCTTGAAAATGCCAGGTAACAATTCTGCTGTGAGTGACCAAGGCTGAGCTTATTTATTTATGTATTTATTTATTTAATCTCACGTTTTGCTCATTCACTCATGAATTCCCACTACTTGACTCTCATTTTATTTTGATTTTTTTCATTCATCACATTCTACAAATTCACCTATCTAAAGCAAGTAAACTTTTAAAAAATGAAAGCTTTGTAAAAATGAGCAGACGGCAGATTTGAGGCAGTTGTCTCCTTTTCCCAGAAGAAACAGGGAACTGGTGGTATAAAACTAGATTTGGATTTGTGAGTGAAACCAAACAGTTGTGCAGAGGAAGGAAAGCAAGCTGTTTGCCAATTTAAATGTTAAGGTAAAGATCCTTTCACAACAACTGCAGTTCTGGCTTAGCCATGTCACTCTGAGTCACTGGCTGTGCAAGGTCTAAACTAAGAAAGATAAAATATATTTGCTCTTACTGAATGCACAGAAAATGAATTTAGGTTCGAATGCTAGTTTAAATAATACTTGGGGGCAGTCAAGAGCCTGAAAATTTAGGAGTACAGAATCAACAAATCATCCATAAAATTATCCTCCTGGAATGGCAATTTCATTATCCAGTAAAAACACTGACTCACTGCAGTGAAAACAAAAACGTTATTAAAGAGCAGATATTCAGCACTATGCCTTCTCAGGCAATACAGAGCTACTCATTTAATGTGTGTGCTTCAACCTCTGTTAAAAGTAGTTTGTAATTTAAACCTATTTCTTCTCCGTCATTTCCATTTCCTAATAAGAAAAAAAACAATTACAAAATCTTATTTAAAATATGCTAGGCTTACCATAAAAATGAAAATGTAGTTTAGTTTGTTTTAAATAAATATGATTTTCTTCATTGCTCTGGAGAGTAGTGAAGGATCATGGAAATAGAAAAACTCATGTTCAAATTACTGCTTGCATTTTGCAGATGCTGACTGCTTTGTGGGCATGCATATAGTGTGCCCTACCAATTTTCTAAAAGTTGTCCTAAAATTAATACTTAAATAGAAATAAAAGTTTGGTTTTATTTCAGACCTGATGGAGAACAGAATGTATTACCCAGCATATTATTACTGAACTTAGTCCCATCCCCTATGCATTGCTTAGGCACATGAACTTTCTAGAGCACAAGACTTCCATTTTCGTGGCAAAGCACCAACTGCCCTCCCAAGCAATACTTTTCAAGCTAACTAAAATTTATACACTGAGAATGAAATAGCTGGAGAAGAGCCTAGCCTCAAATAAAACTGCAGCTTGGCTGATTAGAACATGGGTTAGTAGGTCAGCAGGGAACGTCTCAACAGATTGGAATTTCTGCATCAGCAGTCATTGTACTAAGACATATTTGCATAAAGGAAGGAAAGCTTTATTTTTGCATGTGATAACTTCCAACCACTTGGTTGTTATTACTAGCCCTTGGTATGTAGTATTTACAAGCAAGCAGGCGAGTGGAAAAAAAAAAAAAAAAGATAGCTTAGAGGACTTAGTGACTGGAGTCAGCATTAAACAAATATGCCTTCTTTGGTCTCTCAGAGCTATCATGTCCGGAGTTGCATGGTTTATCATTGGTAGATGGATGCAAGAGAGAGCATACAGGACACGATGGCTCAGCCCTTCAGAAAAGTGAGATGATGAAGGGATAAGTTGTCTGTGCACTGAATAGGAGCCCATTTCGCTTCTTCCAGGAAGAACTAAGGGCCTTGTGTCTTGATGGTCATGACCATCAGTAGTTCAGTACCCTATTGCTACATTGCAGACTACTCCTGAGGAAGGAAGGAGAGGGAGAGAAACAGAAAAAGGGA